GTCAACCTTAGATCCTTAGGCATCGTCAACCTTAGATCCTCTTTAGAGGAACTAAGCTCTGATAATAGAATTACATAATACTGTAGAAAACTCTTTCTATATTATTCATAACGAATATACAAGACCCGTATAAATATATGTATAAATATATGGCGTAGAAAACTCTTTCTATATTATTCATAACGAATATACAAGACCCGTATAAATATATGTATAAATATATGGCTAAATACTGTCAGTTATGGGTAAATACCGTCTAATCGTATCATAATAAAGAGACACAAGTAGATATCCATATTGATATATATCCATACTGATATAAATCAAGATCCAGGCTCAAGAATCTATTATATAGAATGAATGTTTTTCTAAAGAGTGATTTAGCTTAACTGTGGAACAGAAGTGGGTATTTTCTAAACAATTTTTCATTTCTCTCAATATTCTCAACAATTGGTTTAGCATCTACCTAAACAAAACAATGGTTTAGTTCTCTCAATATTCTCTACAATGGTTTAGTTGTTGTGGTATCAACAATGGTTTAGTTGTGGAATAAAGATGCGAGATCGACAGTTTAGCAGTAGATTGATAGGAGTAGAATATCAATCTATGAGGTATGTGCATTTCAGTTTGCGAACCATATATCAGCTACACTATCTTGGTGGAATGTGGAATATCTTTTGTTGTGTTATGTATATTTTATGTTTTATTTGTAGCCTATTTGTAGCTGTTTTCTACATCTTCTAATCGATAATTGGCCCAAAGAAACAATTTGAATTTAATGGCTTTGTTTGTGTCCGTCTCAACATCTTGCCCCTTAATCCAAAATTGCTTACGGTCCTGTATCTTCTTCTTATTGCCATATCTTATATTTATATCCATAATGTTTCTTTTTACATTTTTAATTAAAAAAAATAGGTGGATAGAAAATCTCATATTTATATCCACAACGTTTTTTTTACATTTTTAATTAAAAAAACAGGAGAGATAGGTGGATAGAGAGAAATGAATCAAGTTCTTTATCTTAGCCTACACGATCTAACATTTTTTAAAGTTCGTTCTTGAATAACCTGTCACAAGAAACCCAAAGAATATTTTTCTTCTTCTTTATTTTCCTTTTTTTAAAAAAATATTTAATCTTTGTTTTTTTTAAGAAACAATGGAAAAAGATAATCTCTCTTCTCTTTGTCCCTCTCCCTCAATAGGTTTCAATTTATTTTACATATGTTCTCTCTGGCAAGGTCTCGGAAAACTCTACCCGATTGAAAGAAAATAAAATATTGCAACATAAATCCTAGAGAGAAGGAGAAACGTAGTGTTATTTTTTTTTTATTTTAGAGAATGACTTGAATTATTTATGTTAATTGCATATGGGATATTGAGATTTTTACTTTTGGCACAAGGTGGTCACAATAAATCTTGACCGTTTGATGTGAAATTGGGTGGCTGCATGTATTTATTTTTTTGAAAAAGCTCAAAGTTCAAAAGAACTTTTTCTCAAACTTTGTAACTGGTTGTAAGTAATTGTGACCGCCTTATTCCAAAAGTAAATATACAATCCCATTAAATATTAGTTTTGTTTCTTTAGAATTTTAAAAATTTATATATTCTAAATTTATAGCAAGACTGTAGTAGCTATGATGAGTTGAGATGGATGAGTGTCAAGACAAGAAGGGATGTATTGCAAAAATGAATATGTTTGCAAGAACCTAGACATACGTCGGCTTTAAATTTTGTTTTGGACTTATTTTATATTTTAATTACAAATTTTTCATTTTTAACCAAATAAGTGATTCCAATTATTAACTTCCATTATTATTAGTTTTTAATATTTTCAATTAAGTTTTTTTTTTAATTGTGAATTTCCATGTTTTAAAAATTATTCGCAACCAATTTTTATGTTCCAATCTCTTCTAACTTTCATTGCGATTTTTTTAAAAAAAACAATAATTTTATGTTTAGCTTAATTTTGGTGTTAGTGAAAAAGAAACACAAAAACGTTGTTTATTTTTTATATCGGAAAAATTTATATAGAGCCAAGGCTTTAAACAATCAAATTAGAACCTATCTCAAAAAATTCACTATAAAAGTTGGTTTTGATGCCCAAATTCCTCATATCGATTATCTCGACATCAAGATTCATAGACATGAGAAAAAACTGGATTTCAAGTTTTGAAACAGTACATTTTGTAATGCATTTTTGGACAGTCAATTTTCAAAATTTTCAAGTTCTCATATATATGTTGATCTACACTTTTTTTTAAGCTTTAAATTTTATAAATAAACTTAAATATATATTTTGAGGCTCTCACAAAGATTTCTAATATTGAAACCATATTTCTCAACACTCTTTGAAGGTAGGCTCTAATTTGATTGTTCATAGCCTAAGTTCTATACAAACCACACCATTTTCGTATTAAGAGTGTGACTTGATGTTTTTATGTTAAAACACACATCTATTATTTTTTTCAACGATTGTTTAATATTTTTTATATTTAAAATTTTCTTTTACTTTTCTAAAAATAAATAAGATTTTTATTAATTTGTAATCTTTTTATTAACTATATTCTACACAAATTTTAAAGCAAACAATTGAAAATATGCATCATTCTCATATAACCTCATAACTTATTACATTCTTGTCTTGCAAATGAATAAGGAAATATGATTAATTTCTATTTTAAGGATTTCTTGAATTTGTATTTTAAATTATTAAAATGTGACGATATTTCCTTTTTAATTAATTTCTCATTTTATTTTTTGTAATGTAAAACTCTTTTCTTAATAAAAAAAGAAAAAAGAAAAGGAGAATTGTTTGGTACGTCCAAGCCCGCACCTATTACTCCGCGGGATTGGAGATCTGCACCATAAACAATAGTTCTCCAAAGACAAAGTGAAATCAATGGTTCAAATATTTCTCCCAAATAATAATATTTTTTTATTTTTAAATTTTTTTTTTTTTTTACAGATTAATAATCGGCATGTTAAAGATTACGTATTCCCTAAAAAATAGGATTAAATTTTATTTCAAAATTAAATTATTAACAGAACCGCATTTCTACCTATGAGTCCATGGACTCATAGAAACTGTGTCCATAAAAAAAAGATTTATTTGGGTTTACATATAGTCAGATTCTCAAATTATTTGGACTTTTTTAGTGTTTCTCAAATTTAAGAAACAAAGTTTTTACGAAAGTTTGCAAATAAATAAAGAGGCACGTGAATTGAAATTTAATTTATTTTTGCCTAGAACATAGAAGTACTATCCTCCTCCTATCATCCAGCTCTCTATTTTTTTATCAAGAGAGCCACT